GGGCGGGGCCGGCCGCCGGGGGCGGGGCCCAGGCGTGGCTCCCGCTTCAATCTGCGTGCCCTGCCTTTGCAAAAACATATATTGTGTTGAACCCAGTATGGCCGAGATAGCATCACTTAAACATGTAATTACTATTGGTTTATAAGATACTTCGCGTTCTTTCTCTTCATAGTAAGTCTGTAATTCGACATGTATTTTACACAAAGAGCACATCTCAATTTGGCCTAAATTGCCAAGTGGTCAACAACCGCCCAGGGCCAATGGCTACCTCAGGGAGCAGCACTGCTTCAGGGAATACAAAGTTCATACCCATATCATAAGTCAACCTGATTATTGTTGAGTCCCTGTCTCCTTTATGTCCCACTCCGTTCCTATTCTGCTCTATTTGTCCAGGTCATCAGTTAACAAGTGTTACCTTTTCGTTGTAAGTTGAACCTTCTGGGACTGGCCTTCTTAATCATAAGACGACACCTAGATGTGCCTTACAGAAATTAAAAGACAGATGGATTTTCTACAAAAACAAAAAGCAAATTTTGTAGTAAGCATTCCATCAATGTCGGCCTTTCACCAGGCACTATCCTCAGCTCTTTACCTGTAGTAACTCATTTAATCTTTAAACCCCCATGAAGACACACATGCCAAAACAACCCTGTGAGGTGAGGTTAAGTACTGCGTATTCCTATTTTACAGGTAAGAAGACCGAAGCACGTAGAGTTAAATAATTTTCCCAAGATCACACGACTAGGAAGCAGCAGAGCTGGAATTCAAATCCAGTTTGCCCTCCTGTACCTGTGTGCATAATCAGTGTTATATTGTGTCCTCTACGCTGTATAGGCATACCTTGGAGATACTGGGGGTTTGGTTCCAAACCACCATAATAAAGCAAGTATTGCAATAAAGTGAGTAGTGATTTTTCTTCTTCTTTTTTTTTTGCTGGTGGAGGGTCTTGCCATCTGTAAAACATACGACACCTGTGAAGAGCAATAAAGCAAAGAGTGATAAAATGAGGTATGCCTGTACTGTAGGAGAAAACATTTGCAACGCATTTTTTAAAATTAATGCCCAAAATGCATAAAGAGCTGCCACAAATCAAAAATATAAACAACCCAACAGACAAAAGGGCAAAGGACAAGGACAGGTGATTCATAGAGAAATGGAAACAGCCAATAAACATAAAAAGATACTCAACTTTAGGAGTCACTGAGGACAGTAGTTAGAACAAGACACTGTCTCCAACAGAACAAAAATTAAGAAGTTTGATAACAGGGCTAAGGAGAGTGTGTGACAGTGGCCTCTTACACTGCTGGTGGTGATGTAAAATTTGTACTGCCTTTTGAATGACAATTTGGTAATATCCATCACCATTTAAAATGTATTTTGTTTGACCTGCAGTTCCACACCTGGGACTATACCCCACAGCTGCAGGCTCGCAAGAGCACTGAGACGTATGCACAGAGCTCTGCTAACCAACCTCTACACAAGCACTTGCTGGATTCAACAGTGCTGTTTCTCCATAAAACCTGTGCTGAGGGTCCAATGAGCCCTCCCAGCAGAAGGCTACTCTCTAGGGCACCTGCATACACTCCAGAGATACCCCGGAGACATTTCAGGTTCAGTTCCAGACCAAGGTAATAAAGCCAGTCGTACAATCATTTGCTGGTGAAAGGTTTTGCCTTCAAATTGTAAAAACGGCCAACATCTATAACACACAATAAAGCACAATGAGGCATGCCTTTCTCACCTGTTGTGTCTAGCCTTAAACTAATTCATGACAGCTGTACTTGCTATGTAATTACATAATTATAACAATTGGCGTGGTTAAAATGGTAAGTTTTGTTACATATTTTTTACAATAAAATAAATGGTCGTACTTCACAGTTATTATGAAAATTAAATGAGATTGTGTAGGTAAAAACCTTCTCAAACTAGAACTCCATGTAACGGTAGCCACTTACTGATATTTTCTGGGTTTTTAAAAAATCGAAATTGTTTCTAATTACAAAAGTTTGGGAATTATAGAAAACACACAGAAAAATCACTAACTACTTTCTCACCCAAAACAATTCTTTTTTAAATGCAAAGATAATTACTTTCATGAAAAGCTGAAAGCCCTGAAGAGCAAAGTAAAGGCCTGTTTCTAAAAAGTAAAAACAAACTGCTGTTGAACTGGGTGAGGTTAAAACAAGTGTAAAATGGTGGGGGAAACATGTAAAAATTTATATGGATTCTGTGCTTAGTGTTTTTGTAAGTATCTCAAGTCCCAAACTAGATGGTACATTACATTCTGCATTATTCAGGAAGATAAAACTCCAAAAGACCCATTCTCTAAGGAAAACACCTGGACAGGTTATATTGTTTGCATTTTAACAATGACGATGTAGACATGAGTTGCTTATTTAATTTTAAAATGTTTAAAAATAATGAAGTACCTTTATTGTGCCCACAGAAGTGAAGTTTGCTGCCACCAATCCAATGCCAAGAGGAGTTCCCATTCTGGGGTGTAGTAAAAGGAGAGACTTTATTCAGGCGAATAGTTTGCCTACTGCGGACGCGCAGCCTCCAGAAGAAACTGAAACCTATACTCCCAAGATAAATAGGAGGCCCAATTTTATAGAGAAAGTACCCGCCCTGGTTCCAAATTAGACCAATTTTATGCAAATGAGGAATCCAAGTTTGAAGTTTGATTGGTACAAACAGCACTGTCCTGATTGGGCAGAATCGTATTGTGCCTTCTGCTTGGTCATTATGGAGCCTTTCTGATTGGTCAGTAAAGACGCACATGAGGCTATAGCTGTGTAGCTTCAATTGGTTGGGACAGGTTTCAGCTCATTGGTTGAAAGACGGATTCTAGGAGCTTCTTTCTAGGGGTAAGCTCAGCTGGCAGGAGCATAGTGGAGGCTGGCAATTTAGAATGTACCTCTCTTTGAAATGTAGAGTGTGTAAGGGGCCTCTGCCAGCAATGGCTGATAAACTCTGGTTATGAATTTGAGCCTAATTAAACACAAGGAGCCGTGCTTGTACATTCTCAGAGTCAACAACTGATATAAAGGATACCTTTCACGATACAAAATGACTCTTCCTTTAGATCATTCTTCTTGTCCTGAATTCTGCTGTCTGATAAAATACAGGCATACCTTGGAGATATTGCAGGTTGGGTTCCAGACCACCAAAATAAAGGAAGTATCACTATGAAGTGAGTTGTAATGTTTTTGCTGGTAGAAGGTCTTGCCTTCAATTTATATAAAAAAAAAAACCAACACCCGTGCAATGCAATCATGAGATATGCCTGTAGTGGATTTGGTTTTCAAATCAATCGGAGAACTTTAAGTGGAGTTTAAGCAATTTACATTTACTGTTATTATAAACTAATACGTTTGCTATAAACTCTGCCATCTTACTTTGTGTTGTTATACTCCAATCACAGTGCCCTACTTAAGCACGTGATGAATGCTATTTAGAAAAAGAGGTACGCACTAGTACCACGACTCCGCATCAAGGTGTTGTGTCGTTGGGAGCAGAGGTGGAGGTGTCCGTGCGTAACGTCACCCATTCCAGGTTAGGCACCGCCCTCGGCCGTCGGGCACCACCACCAACCCAACGAACGCAGTAAGGGTGACAGGCATGTACAATGCCTCTTTCAAAGGTAGACACACCTCTCACCGACTTCCGGCAACAGCGCCGAGGGAGAGCGTGAAGAAAACGCGGACAAGCGGAGCTCCCAGCGGCTCGGGAATCGGACGCGGCCGGGGCGACGAAGCCGCTTTACGCCTGCGCCGACTTCCGCGCATGCGCAGTCGCGGGGGAGGGCTGTCCTGCGTCCGCACGTCCCGCTAGCTGGGAGCAGGTGCTGCTGGACGGAACCCAGGACCTGTTGCTCAATAACGCCTTTTTTCGTGGTTATCCTGAGGTGTTTTTCTACTAACTTTGTTCCAGCCTTGTCACCGTAAGTTTCCCCCCTGCGTGTCAGAGCAAGGGCAGACCATTGGCAGACTTGAGTCGTTTATTGGTCCCCTACCTCCACCCCTTTGCACAGATTTGCAGAGATTCGAGGGATTTACGTTTAAGAAAAAAAAAAAAAGACCGTCATTCTGATTGCCTCCTGATAGTCCTATTTCGGACTTAGATTCATGAGTGTCGACGTTTTAATCGTGTGTCTGTGCTTTAATTTTGGTGCTCTGTTGTCTTTTTATGGCTCTACATCGCAGAAATAAGGTAAACCTGGGTTCGTTAGTGCACCCAGATTTAGAGACGCTTATGCCTAAAATTAAATTTCATTAAAATAGTATTCTTCCAACTGTCTTTCCTACATATTTGTGGATTTGATTGATTCACATTTCCCTGAAAATATACATAATTGCTAGTTCAAAAGATGTGTATATTACTTTTAATGTTTTCATAACTCTTCTAAGAGGTTTCACCACTTTCCATCCTGTCCGTGTCCTTTGCTCATTTTTCTGTTAGATTATTCATCTTTTACATATTGATATATATAAGCTCTTTATGGAACAAAATTTTTAAATCATATTGATTATCATGTTACATCCTCAGGGTCAAAATAATTGCAAAAGCAATAGAAACTTTTTACCCTTAACACTGCCCACCCATATGATTTACAGTTTGAGACACAGAGAATTTAAGCGGCCTCCCTAAAGTCACACAGCTAATGTGTGCCAAGGGCAAGACTTGGACACAGGCAGTTGACTCCAGTGCCTGCCTGTTGTTTTTGAGTAAGCTTTCAGAAAAAAACATGTTCACACTGGTAGTGTTTTAGAACCCAGAGGTGTAAAACTGGTAAAGAAGGAAGTACAGTCAGTGTAACCTGAATTGCTGTAAGGAAGTGATCTGCTTGCAGGTAGCTTTTAGGCCTTGCTTTTTACCGTCAACGGGTAATTCTCATTTGGGGTCTGGAAGGGGCACGATTTAAAAGGCTAATAGGAACCTTGAGTACAAGTTTTGCATTTTGATTCTATAATTACCTACACTTCCTTTATACAAAGAATCAAAATTGTATTCATTTGTTTCAAAAATATGTAAGAAAAATATTAGGGCTATAGGATGGTAATATTTCATTACTGATTCAGTTTAGACCAAAGAAGTACTTCAGAGAGAATGATAGAAATATTTTAATTGCTAACTAAAAGGATCTCTTTGTAAATCGTTGTTGTTCTTTGCATCAAACCTAATTTTTTACATTCACTTAAAACTGATGTTAGCTTGAAATGGTGGTTCACAAATGCAGTGTACATTTTATGAAGAATGTAGTAGAAAGACAAAGCCTACAAGTTTTTCTTTGGTAGAAAATACTGTGGACTTGGCAAGTATAAAGGGAAGTGGCTTAGTCATGTATGAAGCCTGGCAAGCATGTAATGATTGTTTAACTGGCTCAAAGGTAAATGATAACCTGTGAACAATTAGACCACCACCATCCAGTGAAGAAAACTAATTGCCTTTCACAGATGCCACCTTATATAAGATGGGGATTTAATGTGCATACCAACACATGAAAATATCCTCAGTGTTTAAGACATCTGCGTAGTACAGATTAGCCTGAAGATTGACTTTTCCAGTACAGACTAAATCAGATATATGGCTGGGCATGGATAGAAGTAGAAGTAAGGCCAACAAAATGTTTGCTGAATTATTTCTCCTGCTTTCTATTTGAAGTGTTTCTGAATCAATAATTATAACCAGTTTTTCCACATGTAACACCTGGTATGCCAAGAAAATGAATACAGCCTGATTATGATGCAATAAGATAAACAATTCAAATCCAGTGGAGCAAAGTTAATTCCAGACAGTTATTGTTCACAGTATGTTCATTACCTTACATCAGTTTCAATTCGGTCTTCCTTCTGAATGGGTTCAAACACTTCGCCTGTTTCTCATTTATGTTCATAATCCCTGTGAAGAGAATGCGGATAGAAAAAAAGGTGTAAAGAAGCTCAAAGATACATCAAATCCAATATGCAGTCAGAAACGAGTGGCAGAATAATTATTGCTAAACTGAGGTTCATAATGTCCTCTACATTCTGTATTGCGCTTCTTTATTGCACTGAAATAATGTCAACTTGATTTGATTAGAGCGGGGAAGAGTTTTGTGATAGGTTAGTTCCCCGCAAGTACTCTGAGACAGACGTAAGGTGCAAGGAGTTTATTGGGGCGTGTTCCTGGGATCACTCGGGAGGACAGGGAAGGAAGTCGGAATGTGCAGGGAAAGGCCTCAGCTGACCTCACCGGGCATTCAGCAGCTAGGACGGCCATCAGAGTTGGGGCAGCAGCCCGCTGGAGTGGGAAGTGGCCTTTTACATCCATCGGTTGACCAGTTTCAGGTCAAGTGGCTCTTCTAAGCAGATAAAATGCCAAAAGAGAGGTGGCAGCTAAAGGCACCGCCGGCAACACTCAGCGGCTGAGGAAACAAGCCCTTTGGTCCTGAGGGACTCTGGGTGGCACGTCTCAGCACCAGAAGTCAGTCAGCAGGACTTGAATCTGTATTTTCAAAGATGACTATACTCAATCCTACAGGCTGTTTCCATGTTTTTTCATTGGTGCCAAGAAGCACTCTGACATTCGTTACTTTTCTACATGATTGGTCTTCACTCCAACTAGGAATGTTGCTTGTGTTCTTTCTTTATTTGGCTGCTGATGAGGATGGTAGCAAATAATCAGCAGATTACATTTTATTTATTCTCTAAAGGAATACTCATTGATTTTCAGAAACTAATTGTAACCACATGCATTCCCTCCCCTTTTTAATTACTCCACACATATACCTACATCCCTTATGCTAAGCTATTCGTACCTCTCTTGGCACTTACCAATTTTGTGTTATAGCCTTTAGGTTCCAATATTTTACCCCCAACTCATCAAAACAGTAGCTCCTCAAGGCAGACGTTACATATTTTTCCCCCTGAATCACCTTTCACAGTCTGCACATCACCATCTCACACATAAAATCCAGGTGCCTGTAGTCCTGGGCCAATTCCCCCCATGCTTCAAAACGTGCCACTGCAGAGGGAAAGAATACGATAGAATTCATTGAGAGAGCTAATGCTGAAATGGAGTTTTTCACAAGGCTCTTGGTAAATATTCATTGAATATACAGTTAACCGGGGCAGTCCCGAGTCAGTACTCATAAAAAGTGTGCTGAACTGAGTTCAAGTAAATGAGACCAGCAATTGGCTTCAAAAGGAACAGCATTTCTCTGTCTCCCCTTAGGGCTTACGATGGCTTCCCGTCACACTGTGCTGATGCGGTTGGTGGCCTCGGCGTACTCTATCGCCCAAAAGGCAGGAACGATAGTCAGAGGTGTCATTGCTGAAGGAGACCTGGGTATTGTGGAGAAGGTATTGAAAATCTCATCTCATTTCATACCAATGTTATTTTTGTTCCTCAAGGTTTAGGTCAAGTGTGTAATAATTTGAATAGACTTTAATAGTTGAAAAAAATCAGCGGCTCCCTTATGGAGATTTCAGAATGACAAGGGCTGACACTATGTCAGTAGAAAGAGCAGGAAATAGTCTCGAGAAGAAAATTGGGGTACCTTTCTCGTATAGTTCAATGACGGTCAATGTGTCTTTTTTTCTCTAGAGCAGTGGTCTCTCAAGTTGATTGATATATAAGTCACCTTCAAATTCAGTGTTTAAGAAGTTTCACTCAACAGATATTTATAGAGCACATACCGTGTGCCAGATATAATTCTTTAGGGAATGAAAAGGATCTCTGCCTTTGTGGCACTACGTTCTAGCAGAATAGTGCTTTGCATTGAAATAGCCAGGACATTTCAGAGTGGCATAAAAGTTGATTTTCACGATCGTCCCTTATGTCACTACAAAGCATTGTAAGAATTCTAGTTAGGTTCACGTACATTCACCTAACCAGGCCTATGTCAATTACAACGTGTTGTAATTCTCTGAAAGCACACTACAAAGGAGGTTACGGCTGTCAGTTCCAAGGTTTCCCATTGTCCGTCACTAGTGGGACTGTCTGACATATGGACTGAGAATGCCCTTGGTGAGCTATGTATGAACTGTTATTACTATTCATTTTTATATATTTTTTTTTATATTTTAGAAATAGTCATTTTTTCTATACATCAAGAAATTGTCCTGAAGATCTCTCGAATTATTAAGATTAGCGAGTGAAAGTTATAGAGGGATCCATGTAAGGAATACCTTTGAAATAACTGAAGATACAGTTTTTAGCTTTGACTGCCTTGAATAAGTTATGAATTTCCTATCTCTTTTCCTGTTTAAGCAAAAGATTGATTTAGAGATCTTACAGAAGGATTTTCTGAACTGGGGAAGAAAATGTGCTGATCATTTAAAAGCTCCTTTCCAAACTTTTACCATGATAAATCCCATGAGGGAAACCAAGACAAGAAACTAGGTGATTCATTTGGTGTTAAGTTCCATGAATCTAAAAACGAACAGTGTAATTTTAAATGACATAGACACTCACGCCTTAGAACTCCTGTTAGTTCTAAATTTTGCATTGCAGACCTGTCCTACAGACTTGCAGACCAAAGCTGACCGCCTGGCACAGATGAGCATATGCTCTTCACTGGCACGGAAGTTCCCCAAACTGACCATCATAGGGGAAGAGGTAAGACTTGCCAGGGAGACAGGGTTTTGTCAATGTCTGTTTACCGTATGAATTTATAATTGCCACTTTGATGATTTATATACCACTATAATGATTTCAGGCATTATATCTAGTATTTTAACCCAAAAATAATTCTATCCCTTGGACTTGAAGGAAATGTCTGATTATAAAATATTTTGGTCCATTTATAGGCCAGATTTCTCAATTCTTGATCATAGAATGTATGGTTACTGTTATAATGTTAAGCATATGAACTATAAGATGGGCAGAATTCGAGAACTTTGGAATGAAAGGGGTGGTTTTTGTTTTTTAATTAGGCTTACTTGCATACTTACCCAAAGACTGTAACACTGAAAATGAAGGAACCGACATTTCATGTGAACGAGGGAGCAGAAGTGTCTCACGTCAGATCCTTCGGAGTCAGTAATTTAAGTCAATTTATAATTCTTAAATAAGAATTATTTAACTAAATTTATTTAAATAAGTTTATAGTTCTTAAGACTTATTTTCCCTTTATAATCTATTCAGGAAAATGAAGTTGGGTCATTTCGTAATCAACTTGGATGAGCCACATACAGTCGCTTTTGTAATTTTATCTGGTTTACTCTAAAGCTCCAAACATAAATGGTAAACGGGAAGGACTAGGGAAGACCACGGCATTGCATGTCTCCTGTCGCCGAGACCGAGGGTGCTCGTCAACACCAGACGGCTTCCGTGGTCAGCGCTGATCTCTGCTTTTAGGATCTGCCTTTCGAAGAAGTGGATCAAGAGCTAATCGAAGATGGTCAGTGGGAGGAAATTCTGAAGCAACCGTGCCCGTCACAGTACAGCACTATTAAAGAGGAAGATGTATGACCCATGTTATTACTTTACTCTTTACTAATCTCTGTCTTTTGCCAGAGTAAAGGAAGTCAGATTTTCCTGTGATGATGAAAAGTCGACGCCGTACCATATAGGCAGCCAGGGATCTGAACGCTTCCAGAGCCAGAGTGGAAGTATCAGGCACGGAGAATGTTTGTCCTGTTCATTTAGAATTCAGTTTCTCATCCTTGGCTCCTTCTCCACTTTGAAACTATTATTGAAAGTACTCTTAGGGAGAAAATCTAACTCGTCATTTAGTAGATTTGGTAGTAAAACATTTCATTGGCAACTGAGGCTGGAAGGAGAGGAGACAGATCGCTCGCTACCTTGTGTTTTTGGAAGGCCATAAAACTCGCCTCTCTTTTTTTGTAGTTGCTTAAATCCGTGACTTCACATAACCGTCATACTTCTTTAGCTTTCTAATTTTGGTTTAACACACATTCATTGAGTACTTACTAGAAGGCACTCTGCTCTGGGCTGTGGAGGATACAAGGGACATAGTGGCTTCCATCAGGAATGTGCCTTCACTCACAAATTCATATCAGGTGTTATAATTAATGCTCGTGCTTAATAGCCGCATATCCTAAATCGTGTTAAAAGTCTTAGGTGGAAGGGACTTCTTTTTTAGTCTCCTGTCAGTTGCATAAACTGTTTTTCTTTGCCACATATAAATGGTGACCTGAAGTTAATCAGACATTAACTGTCATTTTTTAAATCAACGTTTACATATAAAGGTAAGTAGCAAACACAGTGTTCAAAACATTTTGGTGCCACTTTAAAGCTTTCCCTGTACCAGTCTCTAGAGCTCAGTGTGTTCATGGCACTGTGCTTACTGTGCAGGTGACAATCAACTTTTTTTTTTAAGTTTAAAAATGTAAAATTTTATTTATTGACAATTTTTTTAGTTAAGTGTTATTTAAAATTCTTAAATCAGACTTTTCTGTAATTTGACTTTTTCCATGTTTACAAAACAATGGTTTTTTTTTTTTACTGTCACAAAACCGATGACAGCTTAAGCCATCCATAATTTCAAAAATGAAAGAAAAAGAACAGTTTTAGTTAATCTATTTAAACTTACTCTTTATATTTTGTATGCTTATTTTGGATCTTCCCTTGTTCTTAGCTTGTGGTCTGGGTGGACCCTCTGGATGGAACCAAGGAATATACTGAAGGTTGGTGCTCGTTTGTGTTTGCATTCGACAGCATGAGGACTAACGTGACGTTCAGCTGTAAATAGTTAATATTTCATATGTTGCATGAAAAGCTAGTGTCATATTTTATGTCTCTGCCCTAACGCTGTGTCTGTGGCCATCTTAGCAAACTGTTGTTATACATCAGTGATTGTCAAGACAGAGGGAGAAAGTTCATTTCCCTCAGACGCCACCCCCATACACACTTCACTGGTCCCACAATTCTACTGTCCCCCAGATGAGACTAACATTAAACCAATGTCACCAGAGGGACTGTCCTGAACCCCCAGCTTTACTGGGTAGAAAACCTATGAGAACACAGTGGTACCACCCTTGTCCTACAGCCACCACTGACCCGTGCTGTGAACTTGACAGCCTCACCTTTAAAGGTGGGTTTCAAAACACAGTACATTTCTCCTTCCTGAAATTATCTACGATGAGAAAAATTAGGAAACAGCAAATAAAATAATATTGGCAACATTAAAGTAAGAAAGTCCAGGCTCGGAGCCAGAGTTTTAGGTTCTAGGAGCATAGTACAAACTAAGTTTTTTTCTGAAATAAAGACCTACATAGGTTTCCTTACGTTGGTTCTCAGCTTCATGGCTTGAAAAAATTTGTTATAATTACTAGAAAACTCTTTGTCCTTGGAGGAGACATACCTATAATGGATGAGGCACGCGGGGTGTGTGCACGTGCAAGCGTGTGTGCGCCCTGAGAACATCTCTGCCCCCATTGAATGAGGAAGCTGGACGGCGTTAGGTGTATGGGAGCACCCACGCAGCACCCCCACCTCCAGAGGTTTTGATTCGCTGGTCTGGGGAAGGAGCCTGAGAATCTGTATTGTAAAAAAACGACTCCTGTTCATTCTAATGCTGCTTGGTGGTCCATGGACCCCACTCTGAGAAATCGTACATTAGAAGCTTGAAATGGAAATCTGGAGCACAAACTTGGAAGAGGGCGT